CACACACACAACACACACACACACACACACACACACACACAGACAAACGCTATTGAAAACATAACCTTCTTGGCGAAGGTAACAAACACGAAAACACAACCTTCTTAGTGAAGGTAATTACACATCTGGGTTACTTACCGTCACTCCTGCAAAAAAGTCGTTGCTGACCTCGAGGGTACCGGGTGCTCCTCCAGTTGTATACCTTCCGCGGACTTTACAAGTTATCTAAGGATTAAGAAAGTATGCAGAATGATTAAGAGCCCATGACAATGTCACATGAAAACGGAGTACTGGTGAAAACAAGCGTACAATTTTAGCAACATCAAACCTTCACCAAATTATGTTCGCCGTCGCAAGTTATGTATATAACGTTACACATAATATATATACATTACACGGCTATTCTAGGGTTTCGTATGAATTATGCCAATGGGGTCCTGTTTTAATTTATTTATGTCTAATGATAACCACCTTTAGTTAACGTCCAAATGCTGCAACATCGACCAACATCTTTCATGGACTTTTCATGCCTACAAAAAAAAAATAAAAACTGACAGGCATCGTCGCAAAAATCAGAAGAAATGAGCTACTTCACCAAAAATGTCCTAAGGACAGTACTACAAACCCTTGTTTTATCCCATCTCGATTACTGCTCCCCACTACTGTCATCTGCACCACAAACATACGTTGATAAGCTAGGGTTACACCAGTATATCTTCAAAACAATACAGACAATAGAATCCACTCCTACATACAACACAACATAGTCACAAGGGGGGAGGTCACTCTAGCCAAACCCAAAACCAAAGCAAAAACCAGAACTTTTCTGTATAGAAGCACTAAAGCACCCTACCATCATATTAGTATACCATGTTGTTATTTTAATGTATAGGGCTCCAGGAAAAATAGTAAGTAACAAAACACGAACACAATCCGATGCAGCGGCGTTGGAACACGACAGGTAAACAATTTTTTTTTAAATTTGGACTTACACGCATCTACAAAAGATAGTTAAGATTCAGTCACAGCTTCTCGGCTTATCCTTTACACATGTTAACAGCATATGCATAAAAGTCCTACTGCAGTACCGCTGAAAAATGCTAGGTGAAGCATTTTCGAACTTGACCTTTGTTTTCATAACTGCCTCTCACCTACCAAATACATGGTGTATCATTAACATCCATCCAGCTTCTCCAGTCAACGCATTCAGAGTTTTTTTAAAGACCCACACCACAGCCACTCCTCCGTGGCCAAACCTAAAACATTCCCCTCTGACGAAGGCAATTATGGCACAGTGATATATTAACTCACGTTCTTTCCCATTCCAAGTTTGAGGTGATTCTGGTCTAGTACTGTCTGGCTCTCTCCATTGACTAGAGAAGTTTCATAGATGACATCATTGTCGGCAGTCCAGAACACCTCCACTGTCAGGTTGGACCAGGGTGGGGCGTCGAAGTCACAGAACATAACAACTGTGCCTCCCAGGATGCCGTTACTCAGCTGAGGGTTCAATTCAATTGTTGGAAAAATTTCTGTAAACGAAACAAAAATGTGTATACGGTCACAAACCATTAGTTCGTGGTGTAAGAAACTGGGATCTGTCAGAAATAATCCGATAATGTAACAGGAAATTTCAAGGACATTCATATTTGTCACGCAATATAAATGAATGAAGACCTTTATTGTACATTTTGCCCCACTGGGCTAAAGACAGGTCACATATTGACAAAGTACATCATCGATGTTGATAATAAAACGGCTATAGTACACAAGTACTTTCAACTTCCTCTCGCTTTCTGGTAATCTTATAAATGTAGTTGGCTGTATGAGTAGTTAAAGCTGGTTTGTTAAAGACTACAAGGAATATAAATTTCTCTATACTATTCAAATACTTAAATTGGGAGTATTTGCTTGACACAAAATCGAGAAGAACGTTTCTTTCGCTGTCATACATGGAACAATCCACAATAAAATGTACCTCGTCTTCTACTTTACCTAAACTACAATATTGGCAGATTCTTTGCTCTAGAGGAGTGCGGTTATGTCTTCCTGATTCAATTCGCAAATTGTGACAACTGATTCTTAGTTTAGTAATGGCAGATCTGTGACGTACATTTGCGATCTTAAGATAATCTTCTTCATTATGTGAGTGTTTTAATAATCTGTACGTTCGAAGTTTATTTTTTGAATTAGCAACTTTATTATCATTGTGGATTTCGGAAAGAAATGTTTGGAAATGAATATCTTTTAAACGCTGATAAATTGCTGAGATAATTTGGGGCGTATTTGAGCCGATTGATTGAACGCTTTGCCAGACGAAAGAATAACCGCATTTCTCTAGACTGCTGCGTACACCAGACGCCCAACACAATACATTTTCTATACTAACATAAAACACTCTGTGAAAACTCTGTTGTTATCTAATTACATTTACCTGAATCACAAATTCAAGAAAGCAATTTAAAAAAAACAGTCCAAAAGAAGAATGAACATTTTAGTTTCAAACTGGCAATAGAAGGGAATGCGTTGAAGGAATTACCTGTGCAACCAGGTGTGAATCCGAAGTTTTCTGAGCTCTGTCCGGGAGGGCAGGGCACTTCAGTACCTGACGGTAATAGAATATATATAAGATTCTTTATTGACACAACAAAAAGTACAATGACTTTTGTATGGTCTTCTACAACTAAAGATCTAACAAAGCTAAATACATGTGTGGATAACGTTATCTGTAACAATAAAGGTTTAACTATTCTCTAACATGTGGTCTCTAAGATCGAAACATTCTTTAATGCATTTTCCTATTTGAATACTGTATTGGTTATCTCCCCTGAGAATGTAGTTGAATTTATCTATAGGATTTAACGTATTAAAATCGGAAAGAAAAGATGAACTACCCACAGCAGAAAACAAAACAAACACAAGAGAGTTTTATGTTTCACGTAACCCATAGTTGTTTTGTGTCATTTAATGCTGACTACTCTCATGGCTACGAGATTGTTGGCAGAGATGGTAGAGAGACATTGGTGTATTCATGATTTGCATCTTTGTGTAGCTTCCTGAGTTCTGGTCTCGATACCATCAGTTAACAATATATACGTTAGATGTAAAATATCGTTGATGTAGATATACGGAAGATATACGATATAAACAATATTTCCCAGAGCAGATCACATGAGCATGCTTTAACCCTACCTAGACCGGGCTTTTTTTGACATGGGGGGACCGGGGGGGGGGCTCTTTTGACCCCCCCTAAGAACTCGCGAACGGTATGTCGTATGACCACCAAATTTTCAGAGGATGGTGTACTAGTGAAAATTTATCATATCTACAATTTTTATGTCGTTCTGACGTAATATGACGTCATTATGACGTCATTAATGTGATTTTATTGGCCAAAACCGTCTAAATAGGTTTTTCCCTGAAAACTAAATGGTATTCAACATAACTGTACCAAAAGTGTTTATGACAGAATATTATGGTGTACTAAGTCTTATGTTGCCCATAGCAACACCGGTGACGTCATAAAATGACGTCATACATATTTAAGATATCCGCCATCTTGGATCATCAATCTTGAATTTTCAAAAATAGTTTTTTTTCATGATAAAGCCTAAAATACATTGTAAATATACTAAAGACCTTCATTTAAACCTTTTTTGGAAAAAGAAATGGAAGTATTGATGAAATTTTAATGAAAATAACCTGTATATACCTGTTCTAATGATATGGTCCGCCATCTTGGATTTTGGCCAATGACGTCATCAAATTAGCATAAATTATGCATATTTAATGATAAAATTTACATAAAATTATATGGG